TTTATTTTTGTTTATTTTTTTTGATGATGTTATCTGGGGAAAACAAAAAGTTGTTTTCTGAAGGTATCCGGATAAATATCCTGTTCTCATGGAAGAACAAAAGCTAGTTTTGTTAATAGTTAACGATTTAAACTTTTGTTTTTTTGTTCTTTTTCTTGCGATTTTAATCCAGTTTCTTTCTTATGCCAAGAGGGTGGATTGGAGATAATCTCAGGGTAATTAACTGATTACCTGTATTTGTGTGATCCTGTGAAGTGCCTTTTTAATTTTTGCTGTGGAGCATTACGCCTCTTGCAAGGAGAATTGAAAATAAGAAATCCGCTATATCTTTTTAGCGGTATCACACAGAGGTTTTGTCGTCTGCCCGCTGATGCTGTAATTGATTCTGTGAGGAAGATCGTGGGTGGATTTTGTCTGAAAGAAAGCGAGCAAGACAGATTCTGTGTTTGTGCACAGCCCCAGGATCCATGCATATTTTACTGTTATTTGGGTCTTTGTGTGTTTCGCTCTCCTGTGTGCTTCAGTTAAAGCAGTAATACTTGAGTTTCTCCCTCATTTTTTTAACATGTTGGTCTTTGTTGCTCAGCCAAAAGATACTGAAGGCTTCACAAAACAATATACTGGAGAAAAATAACACCGATCTCACACGCCAGATCACCACACCCTGGTTTCATTACCCTGACTACCTCCTCTGTCCGTTCAGCATGTGCTGCAGGAGTCCATCGATGTTGTAGAAACAGTGTGAATTCGACTCAGGATCTTCAACCGCAACCCTGTCTTTATTTAAAGCTAATTAGCAACTGTAAATTCAACCAGAGCCACCATCTTTCCCCAACCCTAACCACGGTGCCTAAAGCACAGGCAGGACTCTGAAGTTGATTAAACTGAAGCAAACCTTAATTAGAACAAGTTCTCCAAATTAAAGGACGACATTTTTCGTCCGTGCCTTCAGAAACCTTCACAAATCACTGCTGGAAGATAAATCTGCTCTATAATGTGACATCGTTATGGTTACGGTTTAGTTTGGTTTAGGTACAGAAACTACTGGGTTACATTTAGGGAAGGATCATGGTTACCGTGTTAAGGTTGAGGTTAAAGGTCGGAGAACAAAAAGAAACCAGCCCTGAAGGACGGATCACCTCTCAATCAGTCAATTTTGGAAAGGTAGAATCTTTGGAAGCCACAGACAAATGAACCTGTTTTCTGTTGTTGAGGTTTGAATACAAAAGAATAGTTTCTTTGGAGAATTCTTCTTTTAATAATCAGCTTTTGTTTATGTTAGTACAGATACGAGCTTTTCCCACTGTGAGAGTTCCTTAGATTTCATTTTAGGGCCAGCTGTTAAATGAAAGAGTGCAGGGGTTTAGGGCCGATTATTAATTTCCCTCAGTGTCAGTGAGCGATAATTTGGAGCGATGAGAATAGAATCAGACTTGGAGTACCCGCACAGACCACACTTAAACTAGAGCTGAAACGATGAGTTGATTAATCTACCGACAGAAAATTAATCTGCAGCTATTTTAATGATCGACATGTATGCTGGTATCAGCCTCTGAGGTTTGTCTGGTTTTCTCTTTTATGAGTCATTTTAAATTGGGTTTTTGGGTTTTGGACTGTTCAGTAGATGAAGCGAGGCATTTAAACGCGACAGCTTTCACAAATCTGAGATTTTATTGAAGAAACAAACAATTAACTGAGAAAATAACAAGAAAATTAATTTAAAAAAAAAAACACTCTTAAACCCGATCTGACCAGTCTTGCGTTATCTTTGGCCATTGTGATGAAGATCTGGTCATTCAGCTCTATGGTCAGACATAGGAAATCAAAAGAGGTCAGAGGTCAAGTTCAGGTTGGGTTGCACTGCACTCCCAACATCTTACGCTGATCGGTCTCAGGTTGTCCGTGATATCTCAGTGACGCCTCGAAGGAATTTCTTCAAACTTGGTACAAATGTTCACTTGGACTCGGTGATGAACTGATTAGAGTTTGGTTGTCCAAGGTCAAAGGTCGGGGTCTCTAAAGTCACTGTGACCTCATGTCCGTCAATAATAATCTCAGTGGCGCCTGGAGGGAATTTCAAGGTAAAAACATTATGCGTGTGGACAGACATGGGTGTAAATTGCAACTCGGCTGTTTTGGCGGAGGCTCACGACCACGAGGCAGTAATTGTAGTTTATAACACTAAAGCTGCCTCCGGGTTCTGGTGTGCTGCTGTGATATTTCTCTGTGTGTTGTAGGATTTTTTTTAATTAAGAAACTGTGTGAGAAAGGATGATTTGTTTGAAGCATTTCACACACGAGGGAGCGGGCTTGTGTTTTTATTGTTATTTTGCTGTGTGACTCTGCGTCCTGGCTGACTGTAGCTGCCGCGTGGATTGCGATTGAGCGTTTTTTATTCTGGGTGTCTGAGGGAGGAAAAAAAGGCGTTAACTGCACAACAGAAATCACCGGGGATCGTGATTATTCTTTTATAGTTAATTTGCTTTGTGATTTGGTAGAAGAAGTCCTGGGTGGTCTTTGTCAGCAGCTGTGTGGGAGTTAACAGATGGTTTCAGGAAGCGCTGAGGATCATCTCTCTTTTGTGTTATTGCTATTTTGCATGATAAATTTGCATTGTTTATCAGGTTTTTTAACATAAATGCAGTGCGGTACACAACGGAAACAAAGCTGCTCATAATACCTGGAGTACAGACGCTGGGACTGAAACCAAACGCTGTGCCCTGAAGTGTCAGTGAGATTCCTCCACATATTCAGACACACAGGGACCAGAGCAGGGAGAACAAAGTGTTTTTGCAAGTTGAAAGCCTGAATGTAACTTTATCATTTCACATAAAAAGTGTCCGCGTCAATCACATCCTCCTTTTTTCTGCGCTTCATATGATTTCTTTGACGAACAGCTGCACTGCAGATCAATACGATAACCATGGAGAAGTTTTTTTTCTTCCAGTCCCAAGTGCTTGGATGTTGACGATCTGCTGCACTGGTAACCTTGGCAGTAACCTCTGCTCTTTAAGCTGCAGAGGAAGAAAAACAGCAGAGGGGGTTTTAAAGGAAAGCACAGAGCACCCCTGAGTGTTTCGTTTTTCTCTCTTTGAGAGCGACCTGAGTGAGCAACAGATTGATCTTCATAATAACTCAACAGAAGCGCAACTCCTTTATCTGGGAAACCAAACGCCACAGAAGAGCTCTGACTCGACACGGCGCTGCTGTTTTCTCAAGTATTTACAGACTTGGCACGGCGAGCAAGTTCTTTTGAGCCGGGAAATCACTCAAGAATATTGTGCCGTGAGATATCTGTCAAGCCCGTAATCTTTATTGAGTTGTAGCGGCGAGAGAAATCCTTCATCGCTGATTGCTGCTGCTGCTGCTGCTGCTGCTCTCTCAGCAGAATTATTTCCCAGAGCTGTTGTAATTGGGACCATAATTAGTGGTGAAGATAAGAGTGGCGCTCTTACAGGCACAAATGACTTAGTATTTCAGAACATGTAACCATGGAAATGACAGGAGATCACGCACGAGCTGTGAAAACTTTGAAAACGTGTGGTTGGTTTTTGTGAAACACTGCTGGAAACAGATGAGAAATATTATATAACTCTGGACATTTCCCTCACGAGGAATGTAGTGGAAATGTGTTAATACTTCACACACACACTTACACACGACAACACGAAGGCTTTGCCTAAATCAGCAGAGCATAAGCCAAATATTAGTGGATGTTGCTGAGTAATGAACATTAATGAGTCAGTTCACTGACTAATACTGTTCTGTAAAGTTTGAACAGTTGCTCCTCGTCTGAAAGGGAAAGTCTGGTGTTTGTCTGTTTAGTATATATTAGTATATTTATTATATATTCTGTTTAATGTTGTCGTGCACATCAGTTGAGCTTCAACCTTATTACAAAGGTTTTCCCTCACGTTGTGTCGCTCTCCTTGTTATATATTGCTTTTATTTGTAAATACTAATTTAAATGTTAAAATCTACTTTTTAAACTGTTGTGCTGCTTTTCTCCCCAAAAACCCCAGGAAACCTAATTTCATGTCATATTATATTTAGCATTGTACCAGAGCTGTCACAACAACAGACCATCAATGAAGCGACGCCCGGCCTATAACTCTTAATACTCCACACATAAAGCAACATGTTTGTTTGGTACAAGACCAACAAAAATCACATCATGATCATTTTTTTATTTTTTCAGTGAAAACTAATTGTAGGTAGAAATAACCACTCTGAAGTCGTGACTCATTTCACAATTGAAATATTTCCCAAAATAATCTCAATATGATTTATTTTAAATATATATTTTATATATATAACATATATGTGTACGTTGCTGTTGTTCAGCCCTACGTTGTGCTGTAGAACAGTATGAATGTGACTGTGGTGAGATGACAGTAAAGGTCGTTTACTTTCACCGCTGCAAAGAAAATATTGATGATTGCAAAGAATGTGGCTTCTTATAGCTTTCCCTAAGACTTCAAACATTTGTCTTATATACTTTTAAGATCCTCGTAGCTGCTGTCTGAGGTGATTGTGTCACAATAAAGTTTTCAGGAAAGCTGGAGGAGGCAGAGATGGTGAGACAAAGTTATTATGACCAACTGTCATAAAGGACAGAAGTATGAGAGTAACGATCATGTTGAAAATTACCAAAGTTCCTCCTTAATGTCTCGTTGAAGCTTTAAATCACAAAAATCAACAGATAATCTGCATATTGCTGCAGCCCAATTTGGAGAAGCTGATCCAAACAGAAGAGTGTAACAGTCATCAGTTTCTGTAGTTATAGTCTCACTGGATGAGCTCCAGTAATGTTGCCTTATTATACTGTTGCAGGTTTTTTGCCAAGTCGCTCTGTGCAAAAGTGGCAGCTAATTATAATCTGCAGCTTCTGTAACGTACGTGTTGGATGGAAACATCGATCCCCAACTTCTCGCAGTGAATAAGGGTGAAGTCTTTGCCTCTGAACCGCTCCACCAGCCGTGATGGAGAGATGAATCAAAACACAAAGAGTGGGAGAAAAGTCTGGATACAGCTGAGAGATGATTAGCTGCCACTCAACATTAGGAAGTTGGTAACTGCAGACTGCAGATAGAATAATGAATGGTATGACATTTGGAGAAAATGTCTCCTCTTCTAAAATGTGCTTCCGATTCTTGCATCCATTATAGAGCAGGATCCCACAGTGAAATAATCGGACGTCAGTTGGATTCACGTCAGGAATATTAAAATGACATTAATTATCTCTTTTTCACTTGTATTTTTAAAGCCTCCTTCAGAAGTGTTCAGCTTCATTTCATTTGATATAATGAAACTGGGCTGAGCTGACCTGGAACTGAATTGAGCTGAAGTAAAATGACATATCACAATGCTCGACCTCTGACCTCTGATGAACCCTCTCCTCTTCTCTCCAGGTGGACCCCATGTTCACGGTGCCAGCTCCCCCTGCTCCAGGCCACCCCGGAGCCCCCGGCTCCTCCCTGCCCTCGGCTCCTTCCTTCTCCCCTCCAGCCCTGCCCACCTCCAACCCCAAGCAGATGGCGGTGAGGACGAGGTCTATCGGCACCAACACCCAGGATGGAGGCGCGTCAGGGGCGCTGGAGGGCGACTCGGCCTGTCTGGGGCCCTGTCAGCCTGGGACCAGCGTCAACCTGGAGGGTATCGTCTGGCACGAGACGGAGGAAGGTAAGGTTTCTGGAAACTCGGACAAGCGAGATCTTTTTGGGATGAACATGGTGATTACGCAGTAGAGACTCTGACACATCCACCCCATCAGTACAGCTGAGGTAGACACTAAAACACTGAGTATATTCTCCAGTATTTCTGTGGATCATACGGTTACAAGGTCGTTGTTTCTTCTTGTTAATGAGTTTTTCACACAAATTAAAATTCTCTTCTCCTTCATTGTGTTGGCAGCTAAACCTCGGGAGACAGATCCCTCAAAAACATTTCTGTATAAATACAGAAATAATCTACATGGCTCATTTTGATTTTTTGTGAACCTTTTATAATTTTAAAGGTCATTAAAAGTGTTTTTATATGTTTTCACTTTTCATTACTGTTAACAATTTTCCAAAAAATGATTTCATTTTTTAGTTGCCAGCTTCCATTAGCTCCATTCCTATTGTACATTTTGAAAAATAGAAATTACTTTGCAGTTATACTTTGTTGAGTTATGGTCTGATTCTGGGCGCCGACGTCGGTCCAAAGCTGCCCAGACTGCACTTAAGAGAAACTGACTCTCAGTCCAGAACAAGTCCACATCCCTGACTCTCAACACATTGTTCACTGCCGCCATAATGTTTGAGGATTTAATGAACTCTGAACTGAATATTTTTGTTTGACAGATTTACACCTGGCTCTGGGAAACTGCGTTGAGCATTTCTTTTACAATTTTCTGATATTTTTTAATGTATAATTATAAAAAATAGTGATCAATAATGACAATAACTGTTAGTCTATACCTGTTGTTCCCGCCAGACAAGCCACACAGTCTCTGGCTGGACCTCAGCTTGTCTCTAACGCCACCTTCAACAAAAACCTGAACTCTTCACCCTCCTGGCCAATCAGCCTCTCCATCACGATATCGATATCAAAATCAGCTCTTTATCTTTTACCCCAACCAAGGTTTCTAGGAACCTGGGTGTCATGTCTCTGATGACCGGCTCTGACAGTCTGTCTCCTGGAATATCAGACCTTATCTGACTGAGTACATCACCTGGATCACACGGTGAAATGCTCTTCCTCTGTGCGCAGTGAAACCCTTACAGACGCTCCAGAATGCAGCAGCCTTCAATCAGCCCGCTGCTCATTGACGTCCACTGGTTACCCATGACCACCAGAATCAAATTCAAGTCACTAATGCTGCCTTCAGAGTCGCCTCTGCGCCTGCTCCATCTACTTGAACTGAGTCTTCCGGCTTTGTGCTCCTTCTCACTGCGTTCCTCCAGGGAATATAGTCTGGCATCACCATCCCCGCGCACAAGACAGTCTCAGTCCAGACGGTTCTGCTCTGTGGTTCCCTGATGGTGGAACAAGCTACTGAAAGTCCATCAGAGCAGGAATGTTCCCTCTTCAATCTATCTTCTATCTTCAAGAATCTCTTCAAGACTGATCTCTTCAGAAAGCACCTCCTCTCCTAACACCCCCAACACACCTAACTAGCTCTTACTGTAAACTTTCCCTGCACTTCTTTACTGCATCTCCTTCACTTATTAGGTAGATTTAGTACTTCGTACTTACACCAAGGTCTCCTACAGCTCTGAAGCTTCAGTGATGTCCCGCACTTGTAAGTCGGATAAAAGCATCTGCTAAATGAGTGAATATAAACGTTGCGGCTCCGGTGTAGTATCGTAACTTTGACCAAACACAAAGCATGAAGGTGACTGTGATGGATGAACTCCCTCCAGATGCTTTCAAGGCTGCGGCGTCTTATTAATTAAACTAGTATCATCCCCCATTACTTTTATTTTCTACGTGAAGCTTTTCTAAGTGCTTTAAGTGAGGCGGTGATTGAAAGGTAAAACCAACAGATTCAGACAGTTCATGGTGAAAATCATCCTGAAGCCTGACTAACCAATCTGTGGCAGAGTAATGTGTGTGTGTGTGTGTGTGTGTGTGTGTGTGTGTGTGTGTGTGTGTGTGTGTGTGTTGAAATACGCAGAGATGTGAACAAAGTGACTGAACCTCAGAGATTACTCTGTAGTGGTCTGTGGGAAAATCTTATGTGTCAAACACGAGTAAATAAAATAGTTTTTTCATGCTTCACTGAGGCTCAGATGTCTGAAACGCACCAGCAGTTTTTTCCTGATCCCTGAGCCTGACTTTACTTTACTTTGACAAAACACTTTTCTTGCCTTGATGTGTGGAAAAAGCTCAGACTCTCAGGTGCTCATGCTTATTTATTTACTTCTGATTTCCATTGTTCTCACTTTTGATGATTAGCGCATCTCGTCTCTAACTCTTAACAGATATAACGGAGCGAGAATCACAGATGAAACTATTTTTACTGAACGCAGGCTGAGTGAAAGCTACATTTGGCTGTTTTCCCCCAAAATCTCCACGAGGAAATGTGTGAAAACCCATTTGCAAGTCTTCAGCAAATGGTTTGTTTTGGTCGTCCTCATTAAAACTAAAGACAGTGTTGTTTCAGCAAGGGAGACTGTAATTGGACACTCTTCATTTAGAAGCTTTAGAAATGTCTGTCAGTTCCCAGGGAGTCTGTCTGGAAGCTGGGTAAATATTTCTACCCTAGAGAAATAGTTTCTCAGGTTTACTGCACTGATTTGTTTCCAAATTGATGCTCAGCTTATCAGAAAAACAACAGCAATGGTTGTTTGACAAAATAATCTTAACTCAATACTATTTTTCCGGAGCTTTTAAGCCGCATCTCAAGAGTCTCGATTGGCAGATAGAGTTGGTTCAGTTTTTATCACGTGACCTTAACAGGGAATATTGTTCATGTGATAACAGGTGGTCGCACATAGGTGGAGGTGGTAAAGATGGTCTGTGGAGACAGATGTGAATGTCCTTGATCTTCCTCCGTCCACTTTTTTCTTAACTGTTAAACGAAGTTTGCTTGTGTTTTATTCAAATGTTTTTACATTACTTGCAAGTGTGAAACAGTTTGTAGCCCTTGTTTTCAAAACTTAATCACTTACTTATGGTGCCACTAAAGCTGAGGGCGACATGCACCAGCGGTCCAGTAAGTGTAGGCGTGTGTCAGCTCATATTAGCACTCCCCGGCTTCCATACTATGGGTGATGAACCAAGCAGTTACAGTAATACTGCTCTGCGCTCAAGCATGGACACATGTGGAGACGCCCCCACGTTGTAGCTGTGTTTTGGATGTTTAGTCTAGAGTGAAATATTTTGAATAGTCCTGTTGTGTTAACTTACACCAAGTTCAAATGAACTCAGATTCCTCTTCTCTCTTAATTTAATCATGTTTTTATGTCCAGTTTTAGTCCGCAGTTATTCGACTAAACAACACGAGTTTCCAGAACTTTCTCTCTTTGTAATAAATCACAGATTAAACTTAAAGTTTTACTTTAAATGCTGATAATTTGAGTTTCTAAAGTCTTACAGCTTGTAATTTTTGTTTCTGCCATAGAACACAAATACAGTTTTACAGTGTTGTCGGCTGTGTTTTATCAATACGCAGAGTTTAACAGGAGCTCTAAGTCCCACAAGGTGCCATTGTATTCCTATAATGAAATACTATACATACAGTACTATAATGCTAAAAACCAACTCACACCTGTACTGTACTGTTAGTACTTCTTTGTCTTTGAGCATCACTTTACACAGTGTTGACGCTGAGTTCAGGGTGGATGATTGTGTCAGAAAAATGACACTTGGACACTCGAGGCCGCTCTTTATATCCCGAAACCTCACCACGCCGTAACCGCAGAGGTGGGAAACACAGACATGAATCTGTCCTTCATGTTTCGACTGACTTCTCCCCTGAAGAGATCATGTTTTCACCCTGTTTGCCTCAGTTAAACTGGGGGTTTAATGTGGGTTTGAAAAACATATGTCACAGGAAAAAATAGAAAGTGCTACTTCTCTTTATCTTTCTGGACCGTTCAGACACGTCGTGCTTTCCAAATTAAAACAACTAAAATCTAGTTTATATTTAAACACGGCTGGCTGTCCTCATGAGAGCAGTTTGGCGTTGAACTGCACATTATCACGAGTCCAAAACAAGGAGAGAAGTAGAACCAGAAACTCGTCCAACGCTACAAAATGATACCATGGGAGTAGCAGGCTGCGGATCAGACGGCCTGATGATTCACCCACTGATTTCGACGCCACCGCACTTTGATAGGCTGTTAACGAGGACAGCACTCAGCTCTGCAGCCTCTCAGCGGAGGTGTAATACCTTACTGCAGGCTGCTAATGAATAAATCCCATCTCGCTCTGCCAGCCGCCGGGCCTCTGAAGTAGAGTGTTGAGTTTGGTGGAGAGGCGTTTGTATCCCGGCCCAGTATTAATTAACTGGAGCTCTTCGCTCCGCCCGGACAAAAATGAAAAACGAGAATAAAAAATACAAACACAACACAGGGAAATGTTATCCCAGGCCAAGAGTGCTTTTAAACAGGCCAGAGAGATGGGAGGAGGAGGAGGAGGAGGAGGGAGGGAAGGAGAGACGGTGAATAATATATCTCCTGCTTCAGTCTCTGTTTGTACAAAAGGAAACAGAGACAGAGTCAGATAAAACTTCTCCTGTGAACGGCCCACAGAGACAGGCAGTGCAGGGAAAACGCTGCAATGACACTGAATTCAAAAGCTTCCTTGCAGAGCTTCATCGTCTTTAATGGGTAAAAACAAAAGAAAACAAGAGAAACAAGATGAGAGGAAACAAAACGTAGATGATAAACACCGAAATTATTAGAATAAAGCTTCAACATTCAAACAAAACATTTACGATCAGAAAGCAGATCGTAAACCTCCTCCGAGGCGGCACAGCTCGCAAACTTTTAGTGCCAAAAACTCTAATGTTGATCAAGAGCAAATTCATCAACAACACATTTGATAACTAATTGATCATTTAAGTCATTTAGCAAAGAAAAATGCAAAAATGCCAAACATTGGCGTGTTCCAGCTTTTAAAAGCTTCAGAAATCTGTAGAAGTCCCAATGGGTTCTGGGAAATTGTCATGGCCTTTTCCTGACGCGTTACAG